GCCTTGTTACCCACTGTACACACATACAAAGACAAAGATCCCCCATATAGCCTTAACAGACTGTAGGGGCAAGTGCTGTTAGCGAGCACCTATGAAGGCCGGAACGGTACAAGAGGGGGTGGGTGGCCAGCACCACGCCCGACCGCCTTTGTCTCCCTAGTGGCAATGTTTACACACCGCACCAGGTACTCATTTGAGGCTGAGTCGACCTAGGGGAGGCCCGGGACCGGTTCAGATAATCGTCACTGATGTTGGCCGTGAGCGGGAATCGAACCCTGGTCGCCAGGTTCATAGCGCAGCGCGCTAACCGCTACACTATCGCTCCCCACACTGTACACACATACACACACATACACACACACATACATACATATACATACACACATACATACACATACATATATACACATACATACACACACACACATATACACATATACACAGCCTTGTTACCCACTGTGTACACACACACACATATACACATACATATACACACACACATACATACACAGCCTTGTTACCCACTGTGTACACACACATACACACACATATACATATATACATACACACATACACAGCCTTGTTACCCACTGTGTACACACATACACACATATACACACATACACATATACATATATACACACATACACACACAGCCTTGTTACCCACTGTACACACATATATATATACACTTACACACACACATACATATACACACATACACACACAGCCTTGTTACCCACTGTGTACATACAACAACAACCGCCATTCGCCACTAAGTGGCGGTGACGTCACCACGACGCTTGTGCCAGGCTATGTGCACCCTGAGGCCACGTGAAGTGTCGAACGCCCGCTGGCAGGAGGTCACGGGGCAGACCCAGGTGCCACGGGTCGACTGACTGAGATGACTGGCTGATGCACCACCTGTGCCCCCTACTGTGCCAACCTGCTGTGCTTTAGCCACCCGGCGCTCCGCTCGCTGTTGTGAGCGTCGCTCCTCCGCCCTCCGTTGTTGTTGGAGGGCGACTGCCTCCAACTGCCCAGTAGCATCCTTCACGAGCCTCCTCCACAGAGGCCGATCTTGACACCGCTGGTACCAGTCATCGGCAAGTCCACTCAGCTCCACGTCCTCCTGTACCACATCACTCCATCTCTTCTCTAGCCCGTGCCGCGCCCGCTTAGCCCCCTCAATCCGGCCAAACAAAAGCTGTTTCGGCATGCGGTGGCTGGGCATGCGGGCTACATGACCCAGCCATCGCAGCCTTGCCTGCCGGAGGAGCTCACCGATGGGACCCTGCCCAGATCTTTCAAGGATTTGTGAGCTCCTCACACAATCCAGTCTGGTTAAACCCAGGATGGATCGTAGGCAGGTCAGCCTAAATGTTTCTAACCGGCGAAGATGTTCCATTAGGGGGGTCCACGTTTCGCAAGCGTAGAGAAGGGAGGGAATGACCGTGGCCGAGAAGACCTGAAGCTTAGTGCGGAGCGACAGACCAGGTAGCTTCCACACAGCGTTACGCAACCGATGAAAAGATATTGCCGCTCGACTGATTCGGAGTGAGACCTCTGCTGTTAAACTGGAGCCAGTCACAAGCACACTGCCCAGGTATGGGAAACTCTCCACTCTCTCCACAACTGCCCCATCACCGATTGGGAGTTGTGGGGGTGGAGTGTCCGATGGTACAAAATACCCAGGCAGGTGCTTAGTTTTGGTGGGGCTGATGGTAAGGCCCCACCTCTTAGTGGCACGCTCCAGTCTCAGCAGCAGCGTCTCCAACTCCTCCTCTGACTGAGCAGCTATTACCAAGTCATCAGCATACATAACGTGGTTGAGCAATAGGGAGCCATCCCTTGACCGCACCCGGGCATCGATTAGCCTCCCATTATATCTGTACCATATGGAGATTCCCCCGGTACAGCTATTGAAGGCTTCACGAACTACGTGGTCAAAATAGATGTTAAATAATGTGGGAGCCAGAGGACATCCCTGTCGCACCCCAAGGTGTACAGGGAATGGCTCTGACTCCCGGCCACGTAGTTTTACCCGGGCCCGCTCACCATCATGAAGGTCCTTAATGATCGTGAGCAGAGGGTCAGGTACTCCAAAAGCACGAAGAACGACCCAGAGCCCAGGCCTACTGATGGTATCATAGGCCTTGACCAGGTCAATAAAGCAGAGATGTAGGTCTTGTTGGAATTCCCTACACCTCTGCTGTAGCAGACGGACAGAAAATATGGCATCTGTGCAGGACCGCCCTTTCCTGAAACCGCATTGGGGCTCCGCAAGCCTCTCCTCAGCGTGCCTGGCAAGGCGATGCTGAATAATCCTTGCCAGGACCTTTCCCGGCACACTGAGGAGTGAGATGCCCCTGTAGTTGTTACAGTCTGTGCGGTCCCCCTTCTTAAAAAGGGGGACCACCAGGGCATCCTTCCAATCCTGCGGAACCCGTCCAGTGGTCCAGACTGTTGTTATGATGTCATATAGGGCAGTCTGTGCACA